AGTCAAACAGCCTCACCTCAGGTTATTACTTGTCAAATTTGACAGGGTCTTAGCATGTTAGCTTGGGCGACAGGGGCGAGCTGTACAACGCGTCATGGGTCCATGGAATTAAATCTTGTACGTATTTTTTAAATAACAGAATACAACGGCCACACCCTTAATTATTACCGTAAAAAATACAGTACTAGGGCTACTCGTAGGCTGGGAAAGGCTAACCAGAGACAATGCAAAAATAGTGTTTTTTTAGCAGCAACTTAATAACAAGAGGTGTTATGCACGAGAAATGACTGAGTGCTGATGAGGAGCGTTAATTAAATTTTTATGGAGATATAGACGTGAATTTTACTAACAAACTGTAGGTACTAAAGTAGTAGTACCGCACCACTTTTAATTTTTCTTCCATAAAGTACCTTGCTTATTGTTTAGTTTATTCATGACATCTTATTGTGCACGAATAATGTGTCGTGTTGTTTAAAAGTTGACTGTAGTACTGGCGACATTTTCGAAACAAATTCTAAGTATCATGCATACAAACGAGGCGCATTTAAGGGTTACAGACACGTAAATACCATAAACACCGTCCGTTTAGGGACTCAACACTGCATTTTCTCAAATAACACCCAAGTATAGCCAGGGCATCCCTGTAGCACCCAACGACTTGCTAGCAGTTTTCAATTGTTCGATTCTCTGCATATAATTGCTAGCTCAGAATATTCACCTCATTCGACGATGAGCGCGCAATTCATCGATGCGTCGGTACAGCTTCTCGATCGGGTATAATATGGCCCTCGCAAGTACGACCTGCAGAAGATCAAGTCTCGCATCCCGTACCGAAAGGACCGATACATGCTGGGCCCGTTCTCATGGGCGCGTGTGATGGATTTGATGGCACCAGCACTGATGTTCATTTGCTCGTGTGATTCGGTGGCAGGGGTACTGCTGGAAATGCGCCAGGAACCCAGGTGCGGCTTGCATGTAACCCACACGCAGTCCATATGTACCCCACGTGTAACCGCGGTTCAGTGACCGTTTTCGGCCGCCGCTCCACCTGGATGGTGAGTCCGGGACAGCACGGTTGGATGTGAGATGAACAGGTAAGGTGCCACGAGTAGCTAGAAATCTTCTCTCACTTCTCAATATACAAGCTGACCAACACTGCATTACCTGCTTTCAGGTTATGAGCCCAAGAACAACGCACAAGGTCGGCAGGAGCTCCGCTCCGACAACCCCGAAGGCCAAGGTCGCCAAGGATGACGACGACGGCCAGTACGGGGGTAGTGAGGCAGTCAAAGATCCGCCCAAGTCGGAAGACCCGCAGGAGAAGCTGCTGGGCCTCCTCATGGGCGTCGCGGAGCGCTTGGAGCGCCTGGAGGCCTCCGAGCTGCGGCAGGAGGAGCACCACAGGCGCCCCTCGCACGAGTCGAGCGTTTTTGAGTCGGCGATCGGACTCGGGAGGCCCATGGACCGGCGCGCGTTGGACAAGACCCCGCCGCCGCGCGACTAGCTCGTGTCGCCCGGCACGTACTTCGGCGCAAAGCAGAACGGGCACGGCCAAGAGGCGGCTGCAAACGTCGAGATGGCGCAAGCGCCGCGGCCGGCCTTGCCGCAGCACTTCGTGCCGCCGCCGGTCTACAGGCAGCCCATGCAGCCGCCAGCCATGCCTATGAACGGCTTCATGCGCGTGCCTGACACGCGGCAGCGCAAGCTCGCCATCCGGTCCTTCGATAGGAAGGAGCTCTACAAGGGCCTTGGGAGCGGGTTCCTCTCCTGGAGGACGCGCTTCGTGCGGCAGATTGGCTTCGCGGAGCGCGCGAGCGGGTTCCAGTGGTCCGAGGAGATCAAGGTGGACGTCCTCGGCCACCACCTCACCGGCATGGCCGAGAGGTACTACAACCAGCAGGTTGAGGGCTGTTGGCGGGAGAGCCCGACGCTGGAGCACGCGATGCAGCGGCTGCTGCACACGTTCGCCACTAAGATTACCCCGGCGCAGAGCATGAAGATCTTCACCGCCCCCAAGAGCGCCAAGCGCAGCTGGACCGAGCACTACCTGTACTTGGTGGCGGTCAGCGAGGCGTGCGGAGGTGCAGAGAATCTGGTGCTGGACAACATCGTCCACTACGCCGAGCCTGGGATGCGCGTGTCAATGCTGTCGCGGCTGAACCTCAGCCGAACGGACTACCTCCGACAGGCGGAGGAGCTGGCCCACTTCGCCCAGTCGACGGAGATCCAGCTCCGCACGAAGCACATCGGCCAAGACGTCGTTAATGACGTCCACGAGGAGCGGGTGGACACCCGCAAGTGCTTCGGGTGCGGCAAGCAGGGCCACTTGAAGGCCGCGTGCCCGTCGAGGAAGAAGAGGGGGAACCAGGGCCAGGGCGGCGACGCGGACTACGTGCTCATGGTGGGCAACAACGAGTCGGACAAGGGCCACTGGATCCTGGACACGGGGTCGAGCAGGCACCTCGTGAACGACGTGAACCTGCTCGAGGACGCGGAGGACTTTGAGAGCCAGTGCGTCGCCGCGGACGGCGGAACTCTGAAGGTAACGAAGTGTGGCAGCGTGATGCTGGAGACCACGGCCATGGGCAGGAAAACCAAGGTGAAGTTGCTCGACGTGCAGTACGCCGATAACCTCATTAGGAACATAATCTCGTACGGCTTGCTGGAGAAGAAGGGCTTCAGGATGGAGTACCGAGGCCCGCATCGCGTGATAGCGGCGACGTCAGACAAGGGGTCCGCGGTGTTGGACGTGCACCGGCGCAACAACGTGCTGGTGGTGCACACCACACACCAAGAGAGCGGTCGCAGCGCCGGAGACGTGCTGATGGCTGCGTTGGCGGAGGCCCAGGAAGGTGTCGAATCAGACGTGCAGACTGGGACGCTTATGGAGTTCCACCGCAGACTCGGCCACCTAAACTACGACACCATCGTGAAGATCGCGAAGGACCCGGCCTCGGGGATCGCTCTCACGGACCACAAGCGCGACAACTGCCTGACCTGCGCGCAGGGCAAGCAGACCAAGAACGTGCAGTCGCGCAAGGACACGGGCGCCAACTCGCCCACCGACGTCATCGGCGGCGTGATCTGCTCGGATCTGAAGGGGCCCGTAACGCCCAGGGACAGGCGGGGGAACCGCTACATGGTCAACTTCGTCGACCACCGGACGAACTACTGCCGCATCTTCCTGGCCAAGACCAAGGATGTGGCGGCGCTGAAGTTCAAGCACTTCATGGCTTTCTTTGAGCGCCAGTCCAACTGCCGCACCCACGTCCTGCGCACGGACGGCGGAGGAGAGTACAAGCCCCTGGACATCTTCTGCGAGCAGACCGGCATCGCGCGCCAGATCAGCGAGCCCAGGAACCAGGCCAGCAACGGCAAGGCCGAGCGCATGCACCGCACCATCATGAACATGGTGCGGAGCATGGTGTTCGCGTGCGGGCTGCCACTGAGCTTCTGGGGCGACTCCGCAGAGTACGCCGCGTACATTCTGAACCGGAGCCCGAGCAAGGGCAACCCAGGGGCCAAGTCACCGCTGCAGATGCTCACCAAGCGCACGCCCGACATCAGCGACATCGTGGCTTTCGGGTCGCCGTGCACAGTACACCGTGACGCCAAGAACAAGTCGTTGGGCGACCGCGGCAAGCGGGCCCTGATCATCGGCAAGAGCGACGAGATGAAGGGATACAAAGTGTACCTCCCCAAGGACAGGGTGGTCGCGGTGACGCAACACGTGCGGAACGTGGAGACGCTCACGGCCATCCAGAACGAGCAGCTCAGGCGCGTACACCTCCAGGACTTGGAGGAGACGAAGGAGGAAGAGACCAGCGTGGACCCACAGAGCGCGGCAGCGGCCGCGAAGACCAAGGGCAAAGGCCAGGCGAAGAGCCGCTGGACGTGCAAGATGTACCAGACGCGGTCGGCCTCGCGGAAGGCGGCGTCACTGGCGAACAGCGGCGACAGCGAAGGTGTGGCGACCCCCGACGTGGTGAACAGCGTGCGGGGGGCCGACCCGAAGAACTACTGGGAGGCCATGAAGAGCCCGCTAAAGGGCGAGTGGACCATGGCGATGGTAGAAGAGCTGAAGGCGCTAGAGGAAAACGGTGTGTGGACGGTCGAGGTGCCGCCAGTCGGCAGCCACGTGCTGCACACGAAGTGGGTCTTCAAGACCAAGACCGATGCCGACGGCGCCATCGAGCGTTTCAAGGCCCGCCTGGTGGCCTGCGGCAACGAGAAGCTGTACGGCATCGACTACAACCTCACGTTCGCCGCAGTCATAGAGCTGAGCACCGTCAAAGTGATCCTGGTATTCGCGCGGCGCTGGCGCGTGCCGGCCAGGCATGGGGACATCCCCAACGCGTACGTGAAGGCCGAGAAGGAGCAGCACTTGGTGATCTACATGGCCATTCCCAAAGGCATGGTCGTGCCCGAGGAGGTGCTGCGCGCGTGCGGCGTGAACAGCTACAAGAAACTCGCGCTACGGTTGAAGAAGTCGCTGTACGGCCTCAAGCAGGCCGGAAGGCTGTGGAGCCAGCTGCTTCACGCCAGGTTGGTGGAGCTGGGCTTTACGCGCTGCATCACAGACATGTGTCTCTACCACAAGCGCGACGGCAACGATATGACCATCGTGGGCGTGTACGTGGACGACCTGCTGGTCACCGCGTCCAAACCGGACCTGGTCGAGGACTTCTTCGTGGCCATGAACATCCTGTCCATCAAGGATTTGGGCAAGGTAAACAAGTTCCTCGGGATGCGCGTGCACCTTGACGAGGAGGACGGCTACAGCCAAGACCAACAAGCCGCCATCGAGGAGCTGCTGGAGCAGTTCGGGCTGGCGGACGCGAACGGCGTCAAGACACCCATCGGCGAAGAGGCCAATGACGCCGAGCCCCAAGAGCTACAGCTGCTGCCGAGTGTCAGCGCCAAGAGAGAGCCCACGATTCGGAGTTTCCAGTCGCTGGTCGGCAGCTTGCTCTGGATCGCCCGGTGCACCAGGCCTGACATCAGCTTCGCGGTGCACAAGGCGACCAGGCACACGCACCAGCCGCGGACGAGCGACTGAAGGCTCGCGAAGCGGATCGCGCGGTACTTGAAGGCCACCAAGACCCTCAAGCTCCGCATGGACGTCGGCGCGTCCGACGGGGGTCGTGTCCAAGTGGAGAGCTGGAGCGACGCGGACTTCGCGGCCGACAAGGGCGACCGGAAGTCGGTGACCGGAGGCGTGGTCACGATGGACGGAGCGATCGTCCACTGGGTGTGCAAGAAGCAGACGGGTGTGTCACTGTCCACCATGGAGGCCGAGTTCACGTCGGCCTCCCACGTCGGACGCGAGCTGCTTGGGCTACGAGAGCTGGTGCGCGAGCTGCTTGGGCTACGAGAGCTGGTGCGCGAGCTGCACCACGTGGTCTCCGAGCCCATGCACATGCACATGGACAACCAGGCCGCCATTAAGCAGTTGAAGTCCGAGGATAGCATGGCGAGCGCCAAGCACGTCGACATCCGGATCAAGTTCATATGCGACTACACACGGAAGGGCATCGTGGAGCCCACGTACGTCGAGTCGCGCCTGATGACAGCGGATCTCCTGACCAAGTCCTTCCCGGCGCCCAGGATGGCGGAGCTGCACCAGATCGTCAAGCTGACGTAGGCGACGGCCGAGGAGGAGTGTTGGAAATGCGCCAGGAACCCAGGTGCGGCTTGCATGTAACCCACACGCAGTCCATATGTACCCCACGTGTAACCGCGGTTCAGTGACCGTTTTCGGCCGCCGCTCCACCTGGATGGTGAGTCCGAGACAGCACGGTTGGATGTGAGATGAACAGGTAAGGTGCCACGAGTAGCTAGAAATCTTCTCTCACTTCTCAATATACAAGCTGACCAACACTGCATTACCTGCTTTTAGGTACGTGGGTAAACACGTATTCCTAACGACCCCCAGCACCGTTTTGATATTCTGGGAATGACCAATATTCGGGAGTTCGTGGAGGAAGGTGCAAAGGAGGAGCAAGAACGAAGCAGTCTGCCCGTCGGGCCAGTACAGCGTACACCTGCCGAACTACTACTCCAAGCTCGTATTTCCGCACAACGAGGCCTATGTATGTAGATCTGAATACTGGCTTCAATTGGGAAATCGTGAGTCCCCCATACAGGTTGGCCACGGACGTGTGATTTCGTACCTGCCCCCGTGCGCGAAGACGACCTTCAAGATTTGGGTGGTATTTCCTCCGGTTTCTAAGGCGACCACATCCTTCAACTACGGGAACAAGGAGGACACTTTAAAATAGGATGCTGAGTACGCCTGGAGGTTCGGTGCTTATCCAACGCCCCGGCGATATCGTGTGTTTAAATAAATTGGTTTTTTACTCGGTACATCTCGTCTACCAGAAGGGCACTGCTGAAGAAGACAAATGGGGCGGCGTTTTTGGCGAGGTTGTGGTTTGTGAAGTGGGCCGCGTTGCGTCGTTTCGATGCCACCAAGCTGGCAACAGGAAGCAAAAAGGGTTATGTTGGATCGCGGGAGTCTCTGCTAACAGCGTACTGTACGATGGAGGGACGTGTTTATGACCAAGCCAAACTTTCGAGTGTGAGAAAAGGCTATTCTACAAAAAGATGAGGTTAGTAGCAAAGTCGGAGAACTGTTTCGATGTATAGGTAATTTTCAAAGTACTACTGCTTAAACTTCTACTAGCTATATTTTGTCAAATTTTAGATCTAAAAAAGGAGTTAGTGATTGGGTTAGCTGGGTGGTATTGCTAAAAGATTGATAGTAAGGGAAAGTCCTGATCCCCTCGAGCATTACTGGCTGCTACTTTTGTTATAGAACTTTGACCATTGGCCAAAATAATCTGCTGAGTGAGCGTCTTCGGGGCAAGAGTGCTGGTGGTGGTCTGGTGGTATCACAATCACAATAACGAGTATCGGTCGGAGCGACATGAATTTCTGGAGTGCTGATAGTATACTTTTGGTGTTTTGTCAACAAAGACTGGTGTACACAGTACTCTCTCAACATTCACCCATTATATATTGCGACCGTTTTACGTACAGCTGTATGAAGTTGTTAATCTAAAGCTATTACGGTAGTAGCCAAAGTATGTTTTCGAACACGTTTACCGAGGGTCTGTGATCGTGGTAAGTTTAAATATCGAGCACGCGCTTCTGAAAGTCGCGCTCTTTTTTTAGGACAGCCCTGACTTGGGCTGAGCTGGTAAAAGCGCGGGGTTTGTGAGCAATGAGCAATGATTGATTGTGCCTTGATTCAAGTTGAAGCTCAAAATATCGTTCGTCGTATTTATGGGTGCAATACGCTTAAGAGTAATTAACTATGGTGTTCATTACTAACCCCTTTCGCGCCAAATCGAGCCAAAACAAATGCCGCCCGTGGCCAACATTTAGTCTAGTATAGCAAGTTGACCATGGTAGGGGGGGGGCTGATGTGTGCACATTTCTGAAGCTCGAGCGAGGAAATCTTAAAAAAAATATCTAAGGAGGTATCTATGGTGATCCTTTCAAAAGATGACCCCCGATAGACATTGTATCAAGTTTTAAGTTTGACAGTATTATAAAGGGATTTACAAAAAGCAAGACTAAGCTTACCGAAATAAATTCCTATCAAGTACGATAAGATAGCACGATATGTGGGCTAGGTTCATCTGTACATGTACGGATGTACAAGGATACTAGCACGGTAACAATGTTTTACCGACTGGTACATGTAGCTGGATTTATATAATAATATATTCCTTACATTAAAATAAAAAAGGGTTGATCCGTAATTAACGGTAGAATAAATAGCTGAAAATTGACAGCCCAGTTATTGAACATAAACTCTTAGACCACACAAAACAAAATGGTACTTACAAACCTAAGTACGACTCGCGATTTAAGCACTCTGAGCGAAAGCGGGGCGTCTCCTCTACCTCTTGAGCCCTTATAAGCTACAGAATGCTTAAGACTGAAGAAGTTGTAGACGCTCAAAAAAAATATCTCCATTTACACCCCCCCCCCCCCCCGAAATGACGATACATTTAGAACTCAATATTTTATAAAGTTAAAAAATCAAGTGCTTTTTAAAAGCCCTTCTTAAAAGCCATTGATTAAGGGTATTATAGTTTTACAGTTTTTTCGTTGGAAGTTTACGCCAAATGTCGCAGTTCCGATTAAGTGCGAAAATAAAATGGTCAAATTTAGGCTCGATTATCTCGATAACTCTAAATGGTTCGTAAGTATCATTTTGTTTTGCGTAGTCTTATACGCGCTTTGTTTGCGATATCGCTGCGGCGAAAACCGGGTGACCTACACTAAGCTGTTGCTCGACGCCACAACTCACAGCTTATGCGTCACTGCAGAGTCTGCCAGGCAGACTAGCAGTCATTGTATTTTGAGAGTCGCTATTATGCCAGACAAAAAATGCAAAAATAAATTGTCAAGTGAATTTTGAGTCCCTCGTACGTTTATATTTGTATACTCCTATACTAAGTTTTCCCGCCACTCACGCCACACATTTCGGGGGCACTCCATTTAGAGATTAAGCAATGAATCGGCGCCAGCCTGCCCGCGCGTCGAAGAAGCGACCCTCAGAGGGACCCTCAGAGGAGGCCTACAGCGACGGCAGCGAGCATAACGGCTCGGACGCAAGCTGGGAGGACGACTCCATCGTATCCAGTAGCTCCAGTGCGGCGACGTGGAGTGTTGAGAATTCAAGCGTGAATGATACGCCTGGCGAGAGAACAAGTGGAGGTACAAGCGGTGATGGATGCACAGAAGGCTGTGCAGAATTAGTTGAAACGCAGTTTCAGTCCTGGGAAGCCTTTCACTCGTATCTAGACGAGTACCAGAAGCAGACTTACCAGGTAAGAACATTGTTGACACGTTACAGAGTGAATCCCTTTATTGCGATGCAGGAGTTCAACTTGACAGCTACAACTGTGGAGTGTACGTTCTGCCTGCATTCGAAACGTTCTGTAGTGGAGAAAGCACAGGTGAATTGCGTAAGAAGGGACTGCAGTACCAGTGTTATCGCTACTTGCAGATGTGCATGTAAAGCAGTATACTTTGTTTAGCTTCAATTATATAGCTGCTGTCAAACACATTGCATTGGAAACATTACAGAAAGGCTGGATTCGTTCTTGCGGTTAACCTCGGCCTTGAGGATGACTTCGCTTTTGAGGATGACTTCGCTCTAAAAACACTAAGTGCTCGTATACAGGATTATACATCCTATACGAGGAGGGGTGAATTTCTTCGTCGGTCACTATCGGACAGTCGGTGGTCGGTCGGTCACAAATGGCTCGTCCTCGTTCCTTTCAGTCGGTCACAATAACGCCTGCCTTGTATTTTTCAGCATCAGTGGCATAAATAACGGACAAGAATCGAGATTACCAGAAAATAAGTTACTATAGGGTAAACATAATCAATACTTAAGTATAATTGTTTTTTTGAATTCCTGGATATGTGGGCTCCAAGAAGTCTAGTTTTGAAGCAGCGCTTCGTTAATACCTGAATTGTCCGACCTTCGACCCTATCGGACAGGTACCACAATAGTGGTACATGAAGTGTAAAAAAGCCAGCGAACTTTATTTGACAAGTATAGTAATTTTGTGTAATCATTATGTTAGGAGGAAGATAGGCAAGATTTGTCGTTTTGTACTGAATCTGTAGAGAGCCTGTTGTGTCTAGCTTATAGAATCGCCTAAAGCGGCCTGTGGGCTGAGAAAATAAAAAAAAGCTGAAAACAAGTAAATTACACTAGAGAGTCATGTGCTCTCTAGCAGGCAAATAATAAAATGAAGCCGAACTTGACAATTATCCGGATAAATTGACTATCCGGATACTATTTGGACATCGACAACCAGTCACTACTGAACGCATTTCATTGGGCAACCATTTTTCAATGAAATTCTGCCGTTTGGCAGGCCAGAATCTCTCTATCAGTCGGCGATACAATGCCACGCATAGACCACGTCGTTCCCGACAATAAGGTCGAGGCCTCACTCGCTCTTTTTCGACGCTACTGCGCAGACCTTAGGATGGCCCTCTCAAATTGCACTGCTGCATTCAGCGTGTGCACTCGGCGCCACGTCAGCCCCCCCCCCCTCCAACCTCCCAATACGACAGTGTAGCTCAATGGATAGAGCACAGGGTCTTGCCCTGAGAATTTTAGTTCGACTCCAACCGCTGTTATTCTGTGGCTTGTTATATTGTTGTTCGCCTGGATTGTTAACTACCTCGAGTACGTCCTGTGTGTATCCAGGGGCGAGATCCCTAATTGCCGCGGTCTGGAGCAGGCGCTGGTGGCGCTCAATCTTGCTGTCAGGACTCCCGCGCGATGGCGAGTGCGGAGGTGCTTGAGGACGGCGGCTGGCCCGCGCGATGTGATCTTCTGCTCGGCTAAAAATGCAAGGACTGCTTTCTCCGCCCGTTTGGCCAAGTCGAGAACCTGATCGCGGTAGCAATGCGCTGTCGTGTCAAGTTCGAAG